GGGGGGGGGGGGGGGGACTTGCAGTCCCAAGAGGGCGACCAGGGTGTGAGGCACCTGTCAAGGGGCAGGGCTACTTGTGGCCCTAGACAGCTCACCAAAAACATTAAGCTGCCCTCCAGCTGAAATAATTGCCCACCCTGGTGTAGAATCTGTTAAAGCAGGCATTCACTATTGCCAAAATGGGTATAAACTTGAATGGTTTGCTTTTTACTATCTCTCCTTTCCCTTTCAGTTGTTAAGTGTTGCTTCTGCAGTTTCATGCTTTGCATGTATGGCTTTGAAAAACAATAGCCCATCTGGAATATATTAAAGAAACTGTACTCTGTCATCATAATGAAGCCCCTTTGACCTGTCTCTTGGGTTTTTGGCATCAGACAGTGGAGTAAATATCATAAAGACAGTATATAATGGTACCTTCCCTCTTGTGCCACTTGGTCGTGATGGAATTTTTGCATTGAAAATTTTGAGACGCTTTACACCTCCTGCATCCACCCAATATAAAACAGTGCTTTTGTTTTTAAACTATAATGCAAATATGATTTTGGGCCAGCTCTGGTGTGAGTATAGTATTTCGCCTTAGAGGTAAAGTGCATTCATCATATTTGGAAAATGCATGCAGAACTAATTAACACGGTTTTTGTTTAACTTCTACCACCTTTCAAAACCAGTGCATCTAACACAGTGGTTCTCAACCTTTTCAGACTCAAGACACTCCTCTGATTTTAGCTTTTACTTATTTTTTTTACTTTAGTTAATGTCAGAAAAGGTTATTTTCTTTAGGTTTGGGAACCCTTCAGAAGTAATGTTCTCACCATTCATTTTGTATGCTCTGAATACATTTTCAGACTTTCCATCAGGCTAACCCAAGTAAAATGCACTGTATTCTAGATCAGATCAGGCTCACAGAGCTGGGGAACTTTGCTGGGATTTAAAAAAATGCCTTTTGCAATGTCTATGGGGAATGTAGAGCAAAATAATTTCCACTTGCTATGCTATTATTAGAGTATGACTTTGGCTTCACTTTTTGCGTTGAAGACGCAGAAAACTGGGGGTGAAATAGGATCCTAAAGTATACCATTTAAATTAAATAATAAAATCAACTTTTGTTCCTTGATGTACTCTTAAACTAAAACTTGGGTAAAATGATACAATTTGTCTCTAATCCAGATTCAACAAAAATGTTTTTGCTGGTCAGATACAAAGGGCTTACAGGTTCCCCTAGCTGTGGGGTATACTTGCAAGAGTGACTACCTCACAGCCTAGGATGGGTATGCAAAATACAGCCTGTGGGCTGGATGTGGCCCATGAGGCCATTCTATCTGGCCTGCAGGGCCCCTAAAAATATTTTTAAAATTAAAATTTATCTGTCCTTGGTTCCTGTCAAAGATGATAGGACCTAGAGGCAGTAGGACCCAGGGGAAGCCCAGAGGGCTCTCGCAACAGCCAGGCCCACTTGGCCCTGCCCCCCTGGCTGGAAGTCCCAGCAGGGGCTTCTGGCCTTGGACCATGTGGCTGCACTGGCACCAGAACCTCAGGTAAGGGGTGGGGGGAAGGGCAGACGAGCCGGTGCAGAGCGTGAGGAAAAATGGCCCCTTGCCCAGTGTTCCCTGCTGCAGCAGCTTGCAGCCCACATGGGGGCTGTCCTGAGCAGGCACAGGCAGCCCCATGCAGGCTGCGGGAGGCTGCAGCATGGGGCGCTGGCCATGGGGCAGGTGAGGGGTGGCTTCCCCCGCTGTGCTCAGCACCAGCTTGTAACCCAGCCCGGTGCTGGCTCCGGGCAGCGTTTGCTGCTGCTGCCCGCCCAGAGCTTGCACCGTGGTAGGGTGCGGAGAGGCTGCCACCGCCGCCTCTGGGCTGCCCAGCACAGTAAGCGGGGGAGCCGCAGCTGCTGCTACTGCGGCACAGCCCCAAAGGGCGAGCCCCAAGTCGGCGTGGGGCCCAGGCTGGCAGTGGGGGCGGGTTACAAGCTGGTGCTGAGTGCAAGGGAAAAGCAGCCCCTTGCCTGCCCCGTGGCTGGCACCGCACGCTACAGCCACTCGCAGCCCACCTGGGGCTGCCTGTGCCTGCTCAGTACAGCCCCGTGCGGGCTGCAAGCGGCTGCAGCAGGGAGCGCCAGCCACACGGCAGGCAAGGAGCCGCTTTTCCCTGTCCACCGCACTAGCTCCTTCCCTGCTGTGGAGCAAGGGGGCAGGGCTATGCGCTCCCCCCCACCTGTACCGTGGGGCTGGGGGGTGGGCACTGGGAGTGAGCAGGTACGGGAGCACAGGGCCAACGCCAGCAGGGCCCAGAGCAGGGTGGTAGGGATGCAGGGTCCCATCTGGCAGGGACTCTATGGAGCTGGGCCAGCTCCCCCCCTCTCCCTGCTGGTGTAGCCCAGCCCGGCTCCGCAGACCCCTGCCAGCCTGTGCCCTGCCCTGGGATGTTGGTCCCAAGATGGTGACCAGAGGCTGAGGCTCCTGTCAAGGGGCGGGGCTACCCATACAGCCCTTGACAGCTTGCCAAAACTGGGTAAGCGGCCCTCTGCCTGAAACAATTGCCCACCCCTGGCCTAGGACCTGAAGTTTTTAAGCTTTCTTGGTCTCTGGCATATGACTTCTTTAAGAATTTTTGTTTGGAATTGGCAGGAATTAGAACCTAAGCTAAGGATGCCTATTACACATGCTCCGGTGTGGGAGTGGGGAGAACACTTTAATTAGAGTGGCTTTTGGGACTTTTTTTTATTCAGTATTGCAGGTTTCAAAATGGCAGCGGGGATGCCTTAACTAAAACTTGTTTGACGAGTTTTAGTTAAAGCGCCCCTGCTGCCATTTTGAAATGTGGGACACTATATACATGAGAACGCTCCAGCATACTGCGGTCTGGTTGGAACACTCCAGTTAATCGAGTCTGCTCCAACATGTTCTGATCAGAACGTGTTGGAACACATAAGCCCCCGTGGCTCACCAAAAGCATCCGGGAAT